CTCCTTTGGAGTCTGCGAGGGTTTTAACTCAAAGCCCAACCTGCTTTTCCTCCCCGGCGTCGTAACCAACATTTAGGATGGGTCAGAGATTTCAGCCAAGGAAAACGTCTGTATTTATCACGCAGGAGTCGGGCGTGCCAAGGGTCTCTTCCAGTTTTTTTGGGGTTTTTTCGTTGTTTTTTAATATTCACTGCGCGGTTGCTTAGCTGGGGCTTCCTAGGTGCAAAAAAAATCCCTTCCTAGGTGCAAAAAAATCCCTTCCTAGGTGCAAAAAAATCCCTTCCTAGGTGACAAAAAAATCCTTTCCTAGGTAGCAAAAAAATCCCTTCCTAGATGGAAAATCCCCCTTCCCAGGATGCCAAATCTCCCCGCTTTGGGCAAATCCTGCTGCTTTTCCAGCGAGGAAGAGGATGGGGGAACCTCAGGCTTGAGTGTGGGGTCTGGGTGAGATGAAGGTGGGATTCCTGCCCTGGCCATCCCGTAGAAACACGTAGCCTTTATGCTGATTTAAGTCAAAGAGGTTATATATTTAGGATAAAAATAAATATATATATATGTATATATATGTTTCCCTTCAGTGAAGGATTGTAGCAATGTACTGAGCCTCTTGTGTTAGGTATTTATTATAAATTTGTGGTTTGTTTTGTACAGTAGCTGTCTGGGAAGGAGAGGGGGGGTGGAAAAAAAGAAAGAAAAAAAAAAAAAGAGGAAAATGAAAAAAAAAAGAGGAAAAATTAAAAAAAAAGAAAAGACTGTCTGTGTTTTAACATGCTGCTCCCACATCCCTGCTCCGGTCGGAGAGGGGATGTCTTGGTGTCTCCCTCCTCCCTGCTGTGTCCCCCCCTCCCAAAATCAGGCTTTGATTGCCCTCTGAGCTGTGTGAGCTTAACGAACCCCACCCAAATTAAGCTTCGGACTCTGATTTTAAAGTGGTGGTGTGGGGGAGGGAGGGGGGAGAGGGAGGGGAATATAATTTCCCAGTTTTTAGCCTTTTGTTTGTATTTGTTTTTAACTTTGAAAACAGTCTATTTGTGACTCTGCCTTTACCCCCTCAATAAAGGATTTCTTGCCCGTTACCTCTTTGCATGTGTCTCTATTTGTGCTTTTCTCAGCATATATACATATTTATTTTTTTTTATCTCCAGCCCAAGAGTGGTATCTTAAACCTCCCTTTTCCACAGCTTAGTCAGCCTTAAATAAATGGCTAATTCAGTTTTAAGATGCTAAACCAAAACATTCCATGCCAAAGCAGACAAAACCCGGGGAGAAAAAATAATTCCCCAGAAATTTTGAATTGTCTCTGTTATGCAGACTGCTTATCAGCAGTCTATACATACCTACGTATAGATAATTTTGTTATTTGCTAGGGCAAAATACAGGCTAAAGAGGCCTAAATAAGAAAGGATGCTGGCTCCTTCACGTAGGTATATAATAACCACAGGCAGAGGGAAATCAGTGCCCTCTCTCTAGGTGTGGTGTTGCCTTCAGAGACACAGGATCACTGAAATTTGGGGTATGGCAATGCCAATTTTGCAGCTGTCTCATTGAAATAAGCAGGGAAAGGGCAAGGGAAAGGGTTAAGCCATGGCAGGGGGATGTGTCATTACGTTAATGGGCACAGCAATGCATGCCACCCTATTTATAACCAGGTGTGACATTCATTTTAGATGACTTCCCTTGGCACCCCTGCAGCCGGGTCCTGGGTTTCGGCTCATTAAGGCACAGCCTGCCCTGGCTTTTTCCCCCACTTTTTTTTTCTTTTTTTTTTTTTTTGGTCATTTCATTGGGTTTGAGTTGAATAATTGGAATTTCAAACCATGCCAAAGGCTCGGGGATATTAAGGGGTAGGGAAAAGTCCTCAATTAATCACAGCAGCACAACCATCACAGTTGAACTTTTTAATTTCTCATCCCACTATTCTTTTTTAAACCCTGTGGGACCTTCTCTGTCACCATCCCCAAAATGGTACCCCAGGGACATCGGGGACCATTGGGCAGAGAGATGTATTTCTCTAGTCCCATCAGGGGGAGATTATTAGGGTCAACCCTTGGCTGGACCCCCCCACACCCCATGCTGTGAATAATGCTGCTCCCCAATCAGGGGTAATTATATTTTATCACTGTGTTTCCTCCTCTACAGCGTTTTTGGAGGATGTAGGATGCCCCCAGCTGCTCCCCCCGTGCGTGAACATCACCAGGTACATGTTAAAACGGGGCTTTGCTGGGCTCTCCTCATCTCCCACCCAAGTTATTCCTGGATATTTGCTCCCCCTTGTCCCCCCCCTTGCTGATCCTGTTCTTTAGTTTAACAGCTTTCCTCCCTCCTTGCTTTATATCTCCCCTCCCACGTCTTTGTGGAGAGGAGGGGTACCCTCCTTCAGCCTCATTTTGCTAAACTTGGCAAGCCAAACTCTGTAGGATTAGCTCATAAAAT